CACACACACACACTCTGTTGGCTGTCTCTTGTGTACACACATGCTGTTAGATCGGTCTTCTCTCTCACACACACATATGCTCTGACACTTCTATATCTGTGTCACACAAAAACACAAGCTCCGTCTTTGCTCTCATTCTGCTCTCATACTGTACAGCACAATCAGTGGATATGACACACAGTAAAACACTACTTGAATATAAATCAGTCGGCAGGAGATAAAGGCCTGCAGACAAATAGAAGTGTTCATGCTGACTGTATCAACACAAATAAATTACACACAATCATCCTTTGTACATGTTGCTCACGTGAGAAATCAATGGGTCTAAGGATCAGTATTCTTTAATCATGGGTTCACTTCCTGTTTCCTTATAACACTGTTGCTGTGTTTTGACATGCTTCTGCTTTCCCACAACAGTTCCTCAAATCTTTGTTAAGTAACCCTTACCAAACACTGAATGTGTCTTCTTGGGCTTAATGCTCAAAGTGGAGCAGCTCCATTCTACCCAAATTGACTGACCCTAACCCTAACCCTATAGACATTGGTGGGAAATCTTAGTACTAGTGACTAATGTAAAGTTAAGGGTCTTTCTTTTGTGTTCTTTTTATAAAAATCTGTTTTACATTTCTCAGTTGTGGATTTATATATGATTATATGACTATATGAAAAGATTCAACCTTGGTCCAATTTCTTTGCTTTTTTAGTCTAAAACCATCCCACAGAAAATATAAGGAAAAATAGCACAGCAATGAGGCGAGCCCTTTAAACCTCTCCTTCTCATTTGGGGCAGCTAACGTGCAAAAATATATCATGTTTTAATTTTTAAGCAGTTTTACACATGGAAGCTTCCCAGAATGACCACAGTCATCAACTGGACACTGAGCTGCTTCACTGGGACTGTTATGGTGTTAAGTGCCTTGCTCAGGGGCAACTTGACTCCAGTGACGAAGGGAGAGAAAGTATTTTTCCCCTCCTAAGGTCACTGTCTAATCTGTAATTTGTCTTATTGTAGTACAACACTCTCTCACTCTCTCACTCTCTCACTCACTCAATCACTCTCTCACTGCAGTGTGTTGGGTTGTAGTACATCATGGAGGTCAACAGGTGGTGCAAGGTTGTTTCTTTCTCTCGCCTGTGGTCAGTGCCGAGCTTCTGGGCCCCGACAAAGAGCAGATATTACTGTTGGTCACTTTGTGACATTTTCAGACTGTGTGTGTAATATAACGTCAGAAACAATCCCAAACATCTCTAAAAATGTCCAGAATTAATGTTTTTATCAGAGGGGGCAAAGGTACACACATTCTTTACTCAAACAGAAGTATAGATAGATACTGGTTTAAACAAGGAATAAGTAGTAGAAGTATTGAACTTATTTACTCAACTTAGAGTAAAGGAGTACAGGCTCTGAAATGTACTCAAAGTATAAAAGTACTCTCTTGGTTTCTACCTGCTGTTTCTGAATTACTCTTCCACAGCAGCAACAACACACTGACGACCTTTATACAAAACACTGCTGTCTTTAGCACTTTGTTTACCTTTTTATATTTCTCATACAGGCTCCTGTTAAACACTGTTCCATTACATTTACTCACATTTCAATGAGCACAAGAATAGACAGGGGTTGGGGAAATTAAGAGGTTTTTACACATACAAAGAACTTCTTTCAAATCCAGAGCAGGCGTCTAATATAGAGCTGTGTTTATTCATCAAAACGTGTAGCCGCACCAGGCTAGTGATGGAGACCTGCATCTGATTGGCACCCTGCTTTTAATTGCATGGTGGTTAATAAAACAATAGAAATCAGTTCAGAGTTGTTATTAAAACCCAAACAGACTACTGATTAAAAACATTAATGACATATTAATCATTGAAGCCCATTTAATGATTAATCTGCCATTAAAGCCCATTGTTTCTCAGCAGTGCAGCACTGTTGTTCATTGATTATTTGCTCTGTGCACATTTCAGACAAACACAAAGGTAAAGCTGCACAGACCTTACACGCAGCGGACATGTGACTTCTCAGTCACAGGTGTTGAATTGTTTACATTATTAGGTGTCGCTCTGTCTCGCAGTAACAGCTGGAACAGAGCAGTCGGTTTATGTTTTCCTACCATGGTGAGTTAAAAACGTATCTAATTAATTTGGGAACGATGAAGAAGATAAAGAGTAAAAACTGATTTGACTTAATTCAACAGATGCATTTAAAAAACAAATAACAGATTGTTTCTACAGCAGATTTGTTACAGCAGGAAAAGGCACAGGTGTCACTAATCAGCATCAAGGATTTGTAATATTCAAATGTCCCAGGTAACCATGACAGTGTGACAGCGAGCCGGCGTTGCACAAACACCCAGGAACTCGAAACTGAAGCAGCTAAATGGAATCCACACATAATTAATTGTATTCACGCCACCGCTTTTCAAACTGAAGTGTGAAATATGTCTTCTGTGAAAAAGGCCTATTGTGAAATTATTTTTGCATTAGTCAGAGGGCTCAACAGTGAATAGGGCGCAAAGTTAAATAATAAACATGAGAATACGTCTTACTGAGGGAGGAAAAATAAGTATTTATCTTATAGAAATGACTTCTAACTTTAGAGAATAATTTCCATACTGTGTGTATGATTTTATTTAACTGTGTTTGTTATTTTGTTGTATTTGATTGTGTTCTATTTCCTGAAGAGAGGAGATTTATTACCGTTCTTATATGTAAATCTGGAAATATTTTCCTTTTATGAGACTCATAGTTGTGCATGACTTTAAAGGACCAGTGTGTCTCCCTCCCTTGTGTGAAGGACCCATCTGGAGCCAGTGTTTGGTTTGTCCCTTCTGGGCTACGGTAGAAACACAACAATTCTTATGTTCAGGTGATTAAACACTAAATAAAACATACCTATGGATATTCCTTTTCTTCCATATCTGCCAATAGATTGATTAATAATAGATAAAAGTTAGACACTGGACCTTTTGATAATAAAAAACAACAAGAATATATATAGATATAGATATAGATATAGATATATATAGATATAGATAGATTATATATATATATATATAATATATAATTAGAAGATAGAAAGAAAAATGTAAAACTGCACTGAAGAGGTAATAAAATCAAAAAGTAATATAATTTTACTTTTTTTTATGGAAAGAAAAATAATGGGGGGAAAATAATTAAACATTAACAAACTATTTAACAACTAATTCAACTCATCTCGCTGTAAACACTCCAGTGTTACTCCTGAGCTCATTCAGACGAGGCTGTCGGTGACTCCAATACCCCTCCCCCGACCTGGGAAGCTCGTTAACCCTTCAGCATCCCTTCACCACGCCCCCTGAATCTCAGCTTTAAGTACCATCGGTGACATGTTCCTGCCTGCATAAAAGTGAGCGCTCTGTGTCGCGCACAGCAAGTCGCTCTGTGAGACAAGTCAAGGATTTTTTTTACCCGCAGAACAACATCAGAAACAAGCTCCAACCAATGCATCTGAACTCCTCTGACAACCGGACCGCCTCTGAGTTCACCTCCAAACTGACCCCCACGGCAGACATATGTGTGGGACTGACCATCCTCTCCGTCGGTATGTATCCACTCAAACCTGCTGTCCTACCCTCAAAACATCTTTAAAATATTTGTTCTTGACCAGCTGCTGGTCCCCTTAAAGCCTAACGCTGCTAAAACTTTATATAAACACACTTCTACTTGTTTCTGATTATGTTTTTCATCTAAATTATTCTACAAGTAATCAATATGGACATCCAGCTGTTTTAATGCAGTGCAGGAAACATAGTAGGACGAAGTAATGGAGGCTGCAAAATCCTTTAAATGTGTTATTTTATCTTGATTGTGCATTAAAAACACACATAGTTATGGACTTTTTTTCACAATAAAATATCTGACAAATGATCTCTGGGGTTAACTTTTTAAATAATCAGAATCAGAAACACTTTATTCTACTACTTGCACGAACGTTTAAAGAAATAGTACTTATATACAATTATCTAACAACATATAGAATAAAATGAAATGTATAGGATATAATACTATAGTAAAGTAAAAAATAAAAATGGAAAATAGAAATATAATAAGAGCCTATATACAAGTAAATGTAAACATATTTCACAGAATGTGCTGAGAGAAATTAAATAAATAGTAACGAGTTTTAAGATTGTGGTGTTGCAGAAGTTATAGATAATTACAAAGAATGACATAATAATAATAATCAAAGAGATCTTCCTCAGTAACCTGCTACCAAACACATTGATTAAGGTTTATCAATCAGCACCAATTACTCCTCAGGCTCTGAGTGTAAATGGAGGTGTGAGCCTGTGCTATTAACATTACCGTCTGTGTGTCTGTGATATACCTGGTAAGATGTTCATTTTCCAGTATCACACTAATTATTCTTGTTGCCTCTTTTGTCTCCGACTCCTTCACACACTCTCTCTCACACTCTTCAACAGACAGTGTGTGTTTTTTTGTATTTCTAAGGAAGATAAATGTAGATACACTTTAATACTAAAGTTTTTAATGCCATCTAAGGTTATTTCTTTTAAATTTGATTGTATTAAAAAATAAATAGAAATCCTCTTTGTTTTCTTCTATTTCCCTTAAAGAATATTCTGTTTCTATGTGTGTTTCCATCCACCTGTTGTTAAACATAAAATGTGACCAAATGAAATAGAAACACAGTGAGTGAATCATGATATACACGATGTAAACTGTCAGTGTGGAGTGACAAGGAGACATAAAATGTTATATTTCCATCATCATTTCTGCTCTTTTTATGAATTCATGAGCTTTCACTGGAGCTTTGTTTTGACTGTGTTTTAATTACATAATCCCGCAGCGTCCTCTTCTTCAGTGGCTTAATGGCACCAGACTGGAGAATCAGCGCCACCAACTGTTTATATATCGACCAACTCCTAATATTAACTAGCTGATTTTCTTTGAAAATTTGGTTAAAATTTGCACTTAATCAACAAATCCTGTGGAAAGACCAAAACCAACTATGAATTCATTCTACTAACAGACTGTTTGTGCAGAGGCAGATAGATCATATTCCTCTCTGCCACAGTGCTTCATTATTGTCCCCAAAAATTTAAATCAAATTAAAACAAATCAATAATCACCCTGTTTAAACTTTATAATCCCTGAGGGGGAATTTGTCTTGGGCACAAAATCTGATGCTTTCACATAAAAAAACATCAGAAAACCAACATGAAAGAGACATTTGACTATAAGAGACTGTGAGTATTAAAGTGCTAAAGTGCTGGTATACTTATTGATTTAGTATTGGCGTTCAGCAGTGTGGTGGAGGCTGGGACGGTCGATAGCTTCAGTGGGTTTGATTTGCACTCTGACAGCTGATGATGAACAACGGCACTGTAGTTTAATTTGAGTTAATCCCACATTCACCATCATGTTGCCTTAAATACTCACCGGTGCAACCAGGTGTGTTTCTGAAAAGAGTCCCCAACAAATGCACATATTTATTTGTAATGTTATAATAACATTGAGTAAATTACTGAGATGTTTTATTAAATCAAACTGCGTATCTGGAAGCTGCTTTTAAAGATTTACATCTCCAGTAGGAACAAAAAAGGTCATGTGGAGGTTTTCAGTGCTTGTTGTAAAATGCAGATCTTGTCCTCTCTGAATTGCAAACAGTGATCATTGATCCAAATATTTTACTTGCATGCTAAATGAAGAGCTGGAAGCATTATAGTTATCCATCATTAGTTATCCATGTTTGCTTCCCTTTGAGAGAGTCTGGGTCCCAGTTGGCTCACCAGTAACCTCCAGGAATCTGTCATTGTAATCGTTATTGATTTATGGTTTATGGTAATTTCTTACCAACCTAATTACCTGGTTGGGTGATTGTTCTATTTGAGGGAAGACGTCGATCCATTCTCCATTTCCTGGATATGTTCCTCTGGACCTCAGACTATAGGAGGATGTCTGTGGCTCTGCTGCGATAAGTTTCCATGATTAATAACAATCTCTAGAGTTGCATTGTAATCTTGTTGGCTGCAGTCAGTTCTGAAATGGTTCATCAAGCAAATGTATCGGAGAGAGGACACTTTCTATCTATTTTGAGTGACACTCCAGTTGTTGTCATCCATCATACATCACTGATTGTGTGTCAAATATGACAGCAGCTAACACAAGTATATTTCTCCATGTAGCTTATACCTGCAGTAACAGATTTGTTTTTGGCCACTTGGGGGCAGCAGAAACAAGCTGTGAACACTGACATAGTATCAGCTTTTGAGTTGCTATGGGGAAATTATCAGGAAACAGATTCCACTTACCAAATCCAGAAGATATAGTGCATTTAAAGTCGTCTTTCCGGTCATCTGATGAATTTAAGGCCGATATTTACTCTCGTTTTTGCTCCGTGTCGGTCTCCACCAACCCCTGTGGGAATTATCTGCCACTTTAGCTGCTAAATGCTCCACTATGTTTACCAGCTAGTTTTCTAACTGTGTCTGGTTCTGAGTGTACTTTGGATTCATCATGTGTTTTTTTTGAAACAGAGAAAAGCTGCAAACAAATCGATAAGAGCAGTAAAACAGAACCAAACCAAAACAATGAGCTAAAAGACAGCAAAACGCAGCTGACAGGAACTGCAGATCAATGATGCTCATCACTATGCAACACCTTTCACACAAATGATTTTCTCAGTTTTCCTGTTGTTTTCTGTCCCAGTTCTGCTCTCTGTTCTGGGCAATGGGCTGGTTCTGGTGGTTTGTTACCGCAGGAGGAAGAAGATGGTGGGTTCGGAGCTGCTGTGCGTCAACCTGGCCGTCGTCGACTTCCTCTGCTGCATCTGCTTCTACCCGCTCTCCATCATGTCCTCCTTTAACCACGCATGGCTGGGAGAAAACGTCACGTGCGTTTACTACGGCCTCGGCTGCTACATTTTCGGCCTGTGCGGCATGTTCACCATCACCGCCATCAGCATCATCCGCTACCTGAAGACATGCTACAGCTTGGTTTACGGTGAGGCATTTGTTAATAACAACAATTTTTATAGCACTTATCCAAACAACGTTTCAAAGTGCTTGACAGACTACATGAGAATAAAACAAAGATCAAATATAACACCACCAAGATTTAAAAATCAGACATCATAAAAGACTTTACTGTTTTAAGCTGTGATTCAAAAGCAGGTAAAACTGACACACCTGATCTCCACAGGCAGGAAATCCTAGAGGCAAGAGCTCCATCGTATAGCAGGGGGCTATACCTTCTTCTTAAAATCTTAAAATCAGTCCTAAACTGAACTGGCAACCAACGAAGGGAGGCAAGAACTGGAGTGATATTTGACCTACGACTGGTGTTCGAGCTGCAGCATTCTGCACAAGCTGAAGCCGAGCCACTGAGGATTAACTGAGACATGTAAACAGTGTACTGCAATAGTCCAGGTGCAAGAAGACAAAGACATGAATAAGCCTATCTAAGTCAGGAAAACTCAAAGATGAATTATACTTTGGTAATGTTTCTGGAGGTGGACGTAGCAGGATTTAATGCAATGTGGTTCAAAGTCCAGTTGAGAGTGATATCTAGATTTCTGGCTGAAGGGTTGATGATGGCTGCCAGTGGTTGTTATGGTGATCAGATCCAAAGATTATAACATCTGTTACAAGGTCATCCATTTTCAGTAGCAGTTGAGCACGTCATTAAACTGCCCGGGCAGCTAACATTATCTGGCTGGAAGGACAAGTAGATTAGTGTATCATCGGCGTAGCAATGATAGCAGACCCCCTTTAAATGACAGATAATATAGAGGGAAAACAAAATGGGACCATGAATGGATCCCTCACATTCTTGGATGAGATGATAAAACATAATTTCCAAGAAAAATATTCTCTATTTGTCAGACTCAAACCCCTCTATTAATGCGGATGTTAGAATCCAAAGTGTCCAACGCAGCACAAAGGTTAAGCAGTAATACAACATTCCTCCATCCAGCATCCTTAAAAGGGTTGATTGTTTAGGGACATTTTGAGGGACTGTGTTTGGTGATTGAAGAGATGTTGACAAAGGGTTTCCCTTCTTAAGGACATTGCTTTATTCAATCGATTCATACAGTTATAATACAAATTGATTTCATTCATTTGCTATGCCCACTTATTCTTTAGAGAGTTTATAATCCTCATCAAAGCCCCATGTGTTTAACACGGATAGGCAGGTGAGCGTTATACAACCTTCTCTCTAACCTAATACAGTTTTCTAAATAAACCCAGACAAGTTCAAAATGTTTCGCAGTATGGCTTTAACTGTATTATGGTATGTTATTTTCTTTATAATGGACAGGTGACATTTTACAGCTCTTACAGCACATATCTTCTCTGATGATCTCAGAGTAAATTTTTTGCTTAATGCTTCAGGAGCTATTTTCAAAATAGCCACATAGCCTCAATAGCCACATTAAGAATATTGTTTGTGATCAATAGAGACGGATGTTGACAGAACTGAGGTGTTTCCTTTCCTGAGAACTTTGGGGTTGGTTTTTTATACAGTCATATACGGCAGCTTTGCATTTAATAGAGTTTTCTTTTAGTATTATAATTATCCACTAAGGACACTCATAACAGCTATGAAATTGTTCAAAATAGCACAATCAAATATTAAAACACTTGATACAAAACAATTCCTACTTTACTATTCGGTTGCAGCATCCTTTCTGTACTGACATGAATCGTATCTTTTAATCAAACTTGCCAAAATGTTGAACTAGTCCTGTAAGCACTGAGGTGTCGAGGACTTGGAATGTTTGAGTATACGATATTTTAACTTCGCACACACACTTTTATATAACTAAACAGGTTTTGTTCGTCTTCACAGCTGTGTGGCTGGAAGGCGCCAACATCCAGCTAGCATGCTGTGCCATCTGGTTTGTGGCTGCACTGTGGTCTTGCTTCCCTCTATTCGGCTGGGGCGAGTACGTCCCTGAGCCCTACGGACTGTCCTGCACCGTTGCCTGGAGGGGTTATCATACGTCAGCCAAGGACGCCTTCTATGTCATCTGCTCCTTCGCTTGCTTCACACTGGTTCCCGTCGTCCTCATCATGGTGTCCCAGTGTCAGATCCTCTACAAGGTTTACCGCTTCTCCTACTCGCTGTCTGCAAGAGGCATCCGCAACAACCTGCGATACGCTGAAAAACGACTCACCATGGTGAGCAAACAAAGTTTAAGATCAATACGTTTTTTGGGGAGGGGTTGGGAGCTTCTGTGCAGGACAAGGAGCTTCCTGAAATATTTATGTTAGGCCACAAATATTGAACAAGCAGGGGTGGATCTAGATGGACCGCCACTGCAGCTGCCACAAGAGCTTGGTGTCAAATTCTGTCAAAATTAACACATTCATTTAGATTAATTTTAAATATAACATGTTAAAAAACTAAATCATTTAATGATTTATTATGGCCACATTTTAGACTAAGTGATAGGCTTAAGTTCAATGAAAAAAAGACAGAAAATTGGGGAAGTTTTGGAAATAAAACAATGTATTGATTTCTAATGCCACCTTTAGATATTTATTTTCAAAGCTTTACTAATGTGCCATAAAAACATAATGTTTTTCAATTAAAATATCTTTATTTGTTCCAAGCGGTCGACTCCACATTTGTCTTAAAAGCCATTTTTAACCACATAATGCAGATTTTCATGAATTTATATATAATTCATATAATTCAGTTTACAACAAACACGCTTTAGGGTGGAGGACCTCTTTAAGTAAAATGTTAAGGTACTTCAACTTCTGGTTCTGGTTCAGGTGTCTGTGATGGTTGTGTAATGAGCCACATTAAACACATACAAACATTCAGTGACCTCCCTCGTGACCTGTATTTGTTTTTTTGAATGCAGATTTTTTTCTTTGTCACTCACTCACTCACACATCCATCTGTACACTGATTGTGTTTGGAGAGCCGTCATGTTTGCGATCACATCTACAGATGACTTTCTTTTGTCTGAGCTTTTGAGAAAGAGGTGCTTTGTTCTTGCTGTGCACAATGAGATATTTAAATAAAGCTTATGTGGATCACAAGTAGTTTGTTTATCAGAGATATGGTGGTAATCTTCCAGCATCGCAATGTAATATTCCTATCTCTTAGTTAGTATTAGTAATGGAGGTTACCCTTTATACCTTATAAAGCCTTTATTATATCCTCTTGTGTAAAAACTAAGATATAGTTTTGGAAGAAGAGACTAAGGACCAATTTATCAATATTTTTGAAAACATTTTGACAAGAATCGCTTGAGTGAGCAAGATATGAACTGATTGGTTGGTGGCTCCTGTTTCTATTTATTATTTACCTCTGCTCACTATCTTGCCATCACATTTTAGCTCGTAACTAATAATGGATGTATGCATGCACTACTGAAACAAAATATTACAGGAAATGCTAAACTTTATTAAAAAATTACATTTCAGTAATCTGACAGTTTTATGGTATTTTGATAGTGTTTATGTTTTTAAAATAGAGATTGACTCTAATAGAGAAATAGAGAGACAGCTGTGGTTTCAGGAGGTAGAGCGGGTCATTCACTAACCAGGAGATGTCAAAGTGTCCTTAAACGTATGTCTATGAATATGGATGAGTGATTTTCTGTTTGTGATGGCCATCACTGTGTGAATGGGTGAATGTGGCACGTAGTGTAAAGTGCTTTGAGTGGTCGGCAAACTAGAAAGGTGCTGATACATACATACATATATAGTCCATTTATCACATATTTGAGCACTCTCTGTAACTGTATTTTCTCTTTGCAAATCAAGCATACTTGTAAGCCAGCAGCAGAAAATGACATTTCTATATAAGTTGTTTGTCAAAGCAGCAGCGAGCCACTGGACAGGGACTGAAGAGCCGCAGGTTGACCCCTGTCTTAGATTAATGTTTTGGAGGGACCTGGATTAAGGGAGCTATAGTAAAAGATTTCCGGTGTGGCAAAAAAAAAACACAGTTGAGGTTGATTGGAAATTAAATATTAATATTATATTAAGTTGTGGAAGTCAGACACCTTTGTACACAAAGCTTCTGTTTAAGACGTTATTTAGAGCTTTAAAACATTTCTTGCGTTGCTACTGAAAATAAACACTTTGTTTAAAGTAATGTGATGTAATGTGAACATGTGATCAACATTAACAGAAACGTAAGATCTTTTATTTTCTAGCACAACCATGTTTTTTTGTTTTTAAAAAGGGGAATTTCCTAGGAAACAGGCTTCATATTAGCGTACAGCAGAATAAATGATTCATTAAGTTTTGTGTAATAATCTTCTGTAATTTGTTACTTCCTCTTTTAGATGTTCTTCTGCATCAGCCTGGGTTTTGTGATCGCCTGGGCCCCGTACGCTGTTGTGTCCTTCCTCTTCATTTTCCACAAGGAGAGCCGGTACATGGCTCCTGAGGGCTTTGTATTCCCCGCCCTCTTCGCCAAAAGCTCCCACATCTACAACCCGTTCATCTACTTCTACTTTAACAAGAATTTCCAGCAGGAGCTCCGCTGCATGATCCTCTCTTTCTGCCCCAAATTCGGGGGGAATCGCGTAGGCATCCACATTGCCGCGGGCCACCCAGGCGCGTATCCCATCCACATTCAGCTCCAGGAAAGAGGCTACATCCAAAAGAAGAACTTTGGTTTGTCTCAGGACCGAATTCACAGCAAGAGCAAAGGCAAAGTAATGCACCCCAGCAGCCTTCGTGTCCATGGCAGGCCGGTGTACGCCTGCTGGGGGTCCTTGTCGAAGATTACCCCGTCCCTCTTGGACAGTAAACCTGGCAAACCCTCCCTGCCTGTCTCTATATGAACTCTATCACTGTTAATACAGATATATGATTTAAAGGCAGCATGGTTAAACCGTCGACAGCCAACAACCAAAAGATCTCGTCCTGTTTCCATTCAATTAATCAGGGCCCAGGTTGCTTTTTATGTAAATTAATTAGGTTCTGTTTAGGCTCCAACTCTGAGAGGTTTTTAGCAGCAAATTATAACATCGATCTCCCAGTGAACTAGATTAACAGCCTGCATCCTGTTAAAGCTTCTGTAACTTCCAGGAAACCGTTGTTAACAGTGACTCCAGTGGTCATTAGGTGAACTGCATCAGTGTCCTGTTGCTCTCGCTCGCTCTCCGTCCGTTTAGAATTACATTACTATCTGCAATGTTCCTATATTTTATCTGCACCATTGACTCTATGCTAATAACTAGCTTGCCGTTTTCAAATTTACCACATCAGCCAATACAAGACCCACACAGCCAAACCCAGCATAGGTTAGGCTACAGTTAGCTAGTTAGCTGCTCCTGGCAAGTAGAAAGCAATTTGTTCGCTTTGTGCGGTTACATCATCAATTGGTGGCTAATAAATCAGCCCACAGGCAACCGAGAGAGTTGGGGAGGTTACATTACAACTCGTTAACACATTGGCAATAAAAAGTGATATATTTTTTAATACATAAAAAATCTGTAAAATATTTCAGAATCTCATGGAAGCTTTAAATCATATACTATACTTCTATTATATAGGATAGATCCCAATGACTCTGGTGTTCCTCTGACTTAAAGGAGTTAAACTTTTGTGGTTTTAAGTGAAACGTCTCAAGATGGACATTCACGTCTCCCTCAGGATAAATCAATTAAACTCATATTTAATGGATATATATATAGATATATATATATATCTATATATATATCAATCAGTATATTAATGCTCATGTGACAACTGTCTTAATACTGTGAATGTTTGCAAGTTGTAAACATGGAAATCTTTCCCATTTCTCCTTTATGATGTGAACATGGTATACTAGTCTTGTTCCTGCTGTGACAAGTCAGAATGTGAAATGAAAGGCCAATTTCCATACAATTTCATTAGGTCTGTGCATTATTTATGCTGTTTCTTTAAGTATTTATACTGTCATTAAATTTTTCAGTAAATTGTTGTGTATTAATAAATTAGCTGAGGGCACAGTAAGTATGATTAGTGAGATTAATTTTTAAATGAATTAATTTCTATTTAACATTCTTAGCTTAAACATTCTACCTCTAAAACCTCTAAAATGTAAAGGATCTGTGAAAGTGTAGCAACATCATACACCGATCAGCCATAACATTACGAGCACTGACAGGGGAATAACACTGATTATCTGGTTATCATGGGCTGTCAGTGGGTAGGATATACAGTATTAGACAGCAAGTGAACATTTTGTCCAAAGTTGATGTGTTAGAAACAGGAAAAAGCGCAGGGCCATGGGCGGGGAGCGAAGACTGACCCATGTGGTCCCGATTCCTTACAGACGAGCTACTGTAGCCCAGAGGTGTCAGGAATTATTACATTATAAGCCACCCAGGGTGCCCCAGCGTAATGTTATGGCTGATTGGTGTCGCTCATTATGTGTTTTTTTTGCTCTTTGTTGTTATAATTTGAGCCTGCAGTCGCCTTTCACACATGCAGCAGATCCACTTTGAGGGCTCAACTACTGAACACAAAAAAACAGGAGCACCTGCTGTTTTGCCCGTAATGTGATGTAATGTAATTTTTATTTAAAACGCATCCAGCTGAAAGCTATGATGCCCTTAACCCCTCTGCAATTATGCTCTTTCACTGTGTGTGTCTTTGCGTGTGTGAGCCGTTTGTACCCATTGAACTCCCAAATCAAAAGCTACATAGTTTTAATGTTGATGTTAAAGTGTTGAATCAATCCTCATATTTTCTGGGTTATTTACCCTCAAAACATTAACAGACTACAGGCTTAAAGTCAAAGTGTGCAGCACTTAAATGACCTACCACACCTGTACAAGGTGAGAGAAGAGGGCGTCTATCCTGGCTGGTCTTTTAAACAACTTTATGTGATGTTTGTATTTATGATCTGTTGTCTGATACGTTGGTTATGTGAATACTGTTGGTCCAGGGATAATAAAGCTCTCCTTTAATGTTTGTATTTGTAATATTTTGTACATTTATTGCTCAGTTACTACCCACTGACTGTACATACTTATGTAATGTTCTGTCTGATGTTTACCCACATTGTCAGGATATTTGAGTGTTTCTTCGTACCTTTGATGTGTTTCTTTCTTTTTTTAAATGAATTTGGCGATTCTCTGTTTTTAGCTCTCGTATATTAACAGAAAGTTAATCTTTGTAGTGTTTTTTCTTTCCTTTGTGTCCTAATGAAGCACCTTGAAAAACAAATTTTTTTCTAAAACTCAGATGTCTCTTCTGATATTGAAATCATATTAATAATGTGTTTCTACAATGTAGAGAAACTAAAGATCAAAAAATCAAAAAAAGTATATAGAAAATT